GCTAGCCTTGATTCTTGATTGAATTTTATATTTGATTTAATTATTAGATTATAATATTAATCTTGCTCCATATCAATATCTGATTTAAAATCTAAATCTTGATTTTTAAGACCTAATCGAAAGATTATGATTTTATTCTTTTTGATTCCTATCTCCAATAAAAAGATGATATATTTGGTTTTTTCTTTGAAGATCATATCCATTTTGAGAAAATCATATTCTTATTCTTCTCTGAAAATCTATTTGTCATTCGATTAAAAAATGATATTATATTTTTTCTTAAATCATATCTTTAATCTTTCTTTAATTTCAATTTTTATTGAATCATAATTTTAAGCTTCTCCCGCAATCAGATATTTTCTTAATCGCCATTAAAGCTAGATTATGAGAATCTGAAAGAAAAAGATCATTTATAATTATATACCATCCATAGAATTCGATATTAATTATTTGCGGAAAAGCCCCGGTTCTTAGCCAATTTCTATAGAATACAACCTCAATTTCAGATACAATTTGAATCAGAAGCTCTAATCAAAAAATAGGTTGCTCATTTTTAATTATTTTTTTCCTGCTTGAAATAATAATATGAGAATATTTTCAATTCAATTAGATTTGATTCGAGATATGAAGGCACTTCCATCTCCTGAAATTTGCATATCGATATTAGAAGAATCCAATAGGATCGAGAAGAGTCAATAATAGACCATCTCAGAAGCGAGAAAAATTAAATAATTTTCCGAATATTCCCTATATAACTATTTTCAGATTTGAATTCATCTATGAAAAAGAAATAATAATATTTGCTAATATATTTTTTTTGGAATCAAATAAATTAATAAATTAGAAAACTTCAATTTATATAATATTTTTAATTTCGATATAGAATACTCCATATTAAAAAATATTTCAGATATAATAAATAAGTTCCTCCACCAATCCCCCGCTCAATTGAAATAGATAAACTTATAATAAATTTCGAAGAAATATTAAATATTAATCACTTTTTCATTTATAATAAAACCGAAGAATAAATATATTTCTCGAGTGATAAAATTTTCATTTAAAAAACAAATTATATAATCTAATATTCTAGTATCGCAAAAATTTTCAAAATATCTAGATATTATTATAAAATCAAATCTAAATAAATCAGAAATATTTTGAGGCAATAATCGAAGAAAGAAAATCATATATAATCAATTATAATAAATCTTCCTAATAATATAATCGAGACAGAAAAATAATATAATTTTATTTTTCTTGTCTCGGTAATCAATATGAAATTTTCCGAGATCATAACGAAGAATAAAGATAATATTGAAAATTTATATTTGTGAGCCTATCCGTGGGCATAATACTTAAAATAATTAGATTTGAATTTATCCATACCTCATCTTAATTTTATTAGAATATAGAAAAATATTTAGTTGTAAAAAATGAAAATATAATTAATATTCAATATGATAGATATTGAAATAGAAGTATTCTATTCTAATCAATAATATTTTTCAAATTATGAAATAGATATTGATATTCTATCCTATAACTACAATTGAGAATTCCTTATTATTAAAAGGCGGCATTATTAGTAATAACTACTGATTTAATCAAGCTCATTCACGACCATACAAAGCCTTAGTTACCAATCTTCCATTGATAAATTGACAGCTTATGGTATTGCCATTGCTGCTCCGTGCAAGCATCCCAGCACCATTCTGCCATCTCCATAACCAAGAACTCACATGACGGCAGCTTATGTCTCCAATGACTTTTCTGGAGCAATGCGTCGAGCATGGACATCATACCACTCGGAGTTCGCAGATGGAAACCATGCTGCCACAGCCGACCTAACATGTGGGTTTGCTACTGTCGTATATAGGTCCAAAGCATCTGCGAAGGATTGCCATTCCGCTCCGGTGATCAAATCAGTTGCGAAATCACCGAACAAGCCGGTCGCACTCTCCTTCAGCAGTTTTGCACCATGAAGGGCGCAAGCACCGGAAGCCGTTGATCTCCTGAGGAACTCGCACAAGCCGCAACATGTGATTTGGACGACAACGAAGCCTGGCCGAGATTCAAAAAGCCGTGAGGCGACTGGCGCACGATTTTAAAGCTCTGGTAGCCCAATGCTGCCAAACGCATCAGCACAGTTTCGTCCTCTATCCTCAGCTGGATGCACACAAGCCTGTGTCCGAGAGACGGTTCTTTTTCCGTGCGCTTATAATCGTTCCACACCGTGCCAAGATGCTCTGCCGAGATGAGTGCCGGTCTGGAGGTTTCCACAATTTCGCCCAAAGAATCGAGACACATTTTGGTTGCGTCTTCAACATCGATCTTCATGTAAAAAGGTGTACCCTGCTCAACGATAATGTCAGCACAGCTCGTGGCGAGCAGCTGCACCGTGTTCGCGAACCTGGCGCGGCTTTGAGCCGGAAGCTGGTGAGATAAACAAGTCCGTGCGACTCTGCGATCCAAAAAAGCAAAAAAGAAAAGTGAGCTCAAGCTTCATCTTCGGTCTCTAATGCAAGGAGTCGTGTGGCAAGCGAAATGAAGTACATTAGTTAGCGCTCGCCGGTTCGTTTCAAGCTGTGACTGCTTTCGCCCGGAATGCCCGCAGCACATTGTAATTGCCTCAAGGTGTCCGAGGCATGATACTGTCAACACTTCTCCGCATGGTCGATCCTTAAACGGACCTTGAGAACAGCCCTTACTGGCAGCGCTTGAACCTGTACCTGGGCCTGACGTGGCAGAAAGTCCACTGGCAGCAACTCAAGCAACCCGGTGCAACTACGCAGAAAAGCAAGAATGTGACAGAATCTTCTTGTCGAGAAGTGTCTCGAACAGCATTACCCGCCCGTGTTCGACTCCCAACTTCCTTGCTGCACTGGAATGTTTCACTTTAGCATGGCCGAAGATGTGCTCGCCTGTCCGCAGTGTATTTGGGCAGCTCAGCTTCTCCAGCCCGCTCGAAGTCCAAAGCATGGATTGAGCCCACAAATTCTTCGTGTCCTCGTCCTCCGGGTGCTACCATGCCCCCGTGCGTACTCTTTGAAAAAACAAGTTGCCAGACTCGAATTTCTCCTATTTTTGCGCATGGAGGCATGACTTTGCCTCAATGCCTAGGTGGTGTTTCATCGACCGTCTTTATCTTCCACTTGTCCCTCTACATCCCCAAGCTGCATCCTCGAAACCCTCGACTTAAGAGCCTTTGTCTCTCGTCCTCGGCTGATCTTGGCACTGTGCAGCTGGAGAAGGCCCCTTCGAAGTGCCGGCTCCAGTCGGCTCGCCGTGCAGTTGTACGCGAAAAGATTGGCCTGACGGGACACCATTGGAGCAGTGTTTGCTTGTGCTGGCATGGCATGGCTGGCTGCCTCGTAGGCCACAACTCGAGCACCGAGTGCCAAATACAGCGAACTGTCCTCAGGTGCTCGAAAGCAACCAACGCTTGGGGGCCACTGTGTAATCGTCAACCATTTTGAAAAACGGAAGCCACAGAACCTTAAATTCCATCCTCTGACGTGCACTCGGCTCTTCGCGAAGAATTTGGACCATGCTACGAGCGGGATCTGCCTTGCATCTTCGTTCAACGGGTACTACAACGGGTATTTGCTGCTCAAGTTCCGGTTAGAACCTTGTGCTACTATGGTTTTGATGCACTTTGCGTCTTCCGACCGCAGAAATGGGTGCGGCAACTCATGGAAGGCCAGACCGGGAGACAGTGATGATTTTTCTGCGGCCTGGATTTCTCATCAAGAAGCTACTTCAGTCTGTAGCTTCCTTTTGTGACCTGCCCGAGGTGAGACTCCGTGCCGGAGCAGTGTGGGAGTTTGTGCTGGCCAAGACCGAAGTGCCGATGACTGTTTGGCACTTGGGGGACGATCAATGAACAGCCAGGTAATGTAATGAGGTGCAGGCATTGAGGCAGCTGCACTAATGCAAACCCGATTCAAGGCCACCAGCTGCACCCACATCCACGACCATCGGCCGACCCGGCAACGACAGCGTGTCCAGCAACCAATGGTAGCGCCTGCATGTGTCTGCAAGAGAGGATCGACCACCTACACCTTCAACCTACCACACCATTTTCGCAACCGAAACCCTTCGCCGGCAACTGGTTGTGCGGGCCTCCCAGTTGACAGCCAAACCAAGTAGAGCATCTGCTCTGGAAGGAGCCCGGTCAGGTGGTAGAACATCTGTCCTTCCAAATCGCATCTCTCAAGAAGCTCCTGGCCGGGCTTCAGGCAGGTAGTCAAGTTCACTGGGATTTATCTGCAGGTGGTTTTTGTCTTCTGTCTTGTTTTGGCCTGCGTCCTTTCCTGCCTTTCATAGAGCAAGCGTCTCGCTGTCTGCTTTTTTCGCACGGGCTAAGGGAGAAGGAGCGACCTTGACCCGCGCTCCAGGCGACCCGCCATACGTTATGGGGGTGTGCCCAGCCTTCACGAAGGAATAGTACAAGTGCAATACAAAACGGGTGCCGTTGGATATGCCATTTGGCTCATGGCTCAAGCATCAGCTGCTGCTGCAATTTCTACTACTACTACTACTACTACTACTACTACCACCACTATCACTGCGTGAGGGTTTGTGTTCGATATAGTTCTCGTATGCTCACCTCACAGAGCTTGTTGGTAGCGGTGGATTGAGGACTTAATTGTAGTTCTCGACGATGTCGCAGCACTGCTACCTTTCCCAAGAGCACACGCTCGTGCTCACTTGTTTTGGCGTCCGCTTCGGACAATCTCTGGTCCGTGCAAGAGGGATGGCTCGAATGCTCGAGACCTTGAGTGACTATTGGCTTTAGCAGAATGTCGAGCTTGATTGCTCGTTCTTGAACCATGAAGTTGGCGACGCACTCAGTAACAAACATCTCTGTGGCAACCATAAACTGTCCGGGGACCGGCCCAGTTACGTTGCCTCTCATATCTCTAATTACCAAACATGACGTGACACCAACGAATTGTACGGGGCAGCATCGAGGACTGTTCGCCGACGACTACTATCCCTACTCCTCGTCCTCCTAATACTACCACTACCACTACCACCACCACCACCACTACTACAAATATTAGTACTACTACTACTACTACAACTACTACAACTGCTACTACTACTACTACTACTACTGCTACTACTACTACTACTACCACTACTACTACTACTACTACTACTACTACTACTACTGCTACTACCACTGCTACCACTACCTACTGCTACTGCTACTACTGCTACTACTGCTGCTACTACTCCTACTACTACTACTACTACTACTACTACTACTACTGTTATGACCACTAGAAAACAAGTGTCACTAACGCATCGACTCAACATGTTGCACACCGTATGCCAGGAAGACACTTGTGGGGTCATTTGACGTTGATACACACTGAGGTTTCGGCTTGTACCCGGTCGAGTACTGCTGCTTCAACATGTGTGACCCTGTGGGATCTTGACATGGTGTGAGCTGGGACTGTGTCTTCTGCAAGGTTGCATCGAGTGTAACTGTGACCGGTTCGTGGCAATACTGTTCTTGTGGGCAATTGGCTTTGGCCGCAGGCTCACGCTGGCGCTTGTCTTGCTCTTGAAGATGCAGTCACATAGAGTCACTCTTTTATTAAGCCTCTTCCATCATTGATCAAGCTTGAAAGGTCGCCTGAATGTATGTGAGAAACTGTTATTTCCGTATGTCTTCCCCTCTCTTCCTGCTTTCTCTCTCTGTCCACCCGCCTCCCCCACTTGATGAGTTCATTGCTTAGCTTCTCTGTCTCATTGGAGCACAGAGACTCGAAGACGATTCATCAGCGGACAAGGTGAGACCGAGAGACAACCGCAGTGACACAGCAGTGCGGGACAACTGTGAGCTTTCATGCGCTTGATACCCACAGCCCCAATCCAGAAGCATGACGAAATCTCCGCCCGCACACCCGAGCACCACTATAAGTTTGAAATTGTCCGTCATCTTTGCCTCAACATGGGATACTGTATTTCATGTAATGTAAGGTACCCTATCCAGTGTATCACGTACTAATACAAGGCAATGTTGGCTCCTGGAACAGGCGCACATAGCCAACGAGGCGTTGCACGGGAATTGCAACTAGCCACTCTCCGTTGTGGCTGAGATGGTGAAGTTCATGAAATAGATAAATCACACTCTGCAGCAGGCAGCCGGTCGCCAACGAAGCGTTGATGTCCGAATGCTTCAGTATTCTGCCTCCAACAATAACTTTAAGCTCATTTCCATCTGCGAAGGCACGAAAAAAATTCAGTGGCTGCCCTCGGCAATCTTGATTTTTGTTCGGGTACACAGGGTTTGACACCAAACAGGTCGAGGTGGAAGCCGTTTCGTAAGGCACGGAGCAGCAGGCAAAAGTGAGCAGTTGATTGTAGCCCCAGCACTGGGGACGCATGGGTTGACAACAGTGGTGAGCAAGCGGCGTCTGGAAGCAGTGCTGAGGCTGCGCCTTCACTCGCGGGACATACCATTCACCGGGTGGCCAAACCATGGTGTCCACATTACCACACGCCTGACCAAATACGCCAACAGTGCCAAAGTGCCGCTTCTTCAACGATAATTCCTTTGCGGCTGCTTGCCACTGAAAACGCACGTGGTTAGTTTGAAGATGTATTCTATGGCGACCCGGCCGTAGTGTTGCAGCATGGACATAGAAGACCCCGTCAGGAGAAAGAAACATGCGCAGCGTTACTGCAAAGCCATTGAACACCTCTTCCACCTCAGACCCCTCGCATAACATGAATGCCACGTCCAATTCTTCCTGGATGGCCAAACCCTGGGCCACCAAGTCGGAACAGTTGCCTTCGGTGAGTGAGAAGAACTCGCATCCCAACAGCAGTTGCTCGTTGAGGGCAAGCATGACGCGAGAAACAATTGCGAGAGCTGCGATTGTATGCCGGATCTTGGCCATGTGATCACAAAATGCTGCTGGAGCATGGCGCCGGTGCTTCTAAGCGGCTGGCGCAGAATTTCAACTAAGAGGAACCCATTAAGAAACATGGATCATGGTTTCTATGCTGCCAGGTCCTCTCCGGCTTCAGCGCTTCGTCTTCAGCACTTATGTCACCACCGTTTTTGTCCCTAAAACTACATCACGAACTGTCACGGGCATGCCAACTCAGTTTTGCTAATTTTCTTACGACTGCTTGGGTGCAGAATGCTGATGCAAAGCTACGGCAGAGCCTCGATGAAGTGTTGGGTGATGTTGGATGCTTGAGCCGGCTCTCCAAAGGCTACATTCAACCCATTGGAATGTCAGCTGAAGCCGGCTTTCTTATGCACTGATGCTGACGCCAGGGCTTCTCAAACAAATCTCTTCTACTAGCGTTAGATACAACTCAAAAGCTCTCTTATCCTTTTTTTCAAGACTGAATGAAGCTTACGCCTTAAGCAAATACGCTTCGCCAAACTCTTGCTTGGGACCCTCGTACATGAGAGTGGTTCCAAATTTCAGCCTTAATAAGACGAGCTATTTACAACTGTATCGATTACAAAAAGTTTGTACAGTACTATCAAGAGAAAACAAGTGTTGTCGAGAGATAGGTGCATCAAAAGGAGTTCGAAGCAGAGCAGCCCCTGGACCTCGAATCCTGACATGCGTATTTGGACCAAATTAGACATCTCCGTCGTTCTGTAAGGATTCCTTGAGCATCAGTGGCAATTTGCAGGAACGTGCTTTGTCAGGTTCCCATTTCGGATGATGGATGACTGATCACGGCGGGTTGCCCTCTAGACAGTGGACGATGACCGAGGACTTGCAGCGAACAGGATTCGTAAACAAGCAGGTACATGAGCTCAGAAAGAACAGCCGGCAGGTGGCAGCTGGAGGCGCGTTTACAGCTCTGAGCTGCTCGCCTGGCGAGATGATGATTACAAACTGTGGCGATGGGATGCAGGATGTCAAGGTGTGAAGCCAAGCACAAGGCATGCTTCTTGTTTCCGAATGTGCAGCGAAGGGTCTTCCAGTCATGGCTTGTACCACTGAGTCGGTCACACAAGCGACCAAAGCTCATGTCAGACGCCCAGAGTTCATAGCAGTTTGCTGAATACCATGACCAAGGAGCCTGCAAGAACCCGATCAGAACCGGAGGTGGGTACGGCACTCGGTGAGTGTTGGGTGACGTGACGTGAGACTGTTGGTCTTTCTGAGAACCCGGCTCGATGGAAATTCTTAAACACTATGACCGGTATATGGCTGAACTCTTGACTCGCCTCCACTTTTTCCAGAGTTGCAAAGACCTGCATACTTCCTTCGCGAATGTTGGTGACCGCCTGCGCCAGAACGTCTTCATTGTCTCGAAACTGCAATTCCGGCTGGATGGGAATCGGGACCCGGGGCGATATGTAGGCGGAGGCGGTCCAAGCTGCACACAGGTACAGGCGAAAAGGGTTGAATGCAACAGTGGTCGGCATACTCTCAGGGTCTTGCGCGAGGGTCTCAAAATCCTTGCTATCACCGGTGATGACGTGCTGTGCTAGAGTTCCACATGCTCATTGTAGTGTTTCAGCAATTGAAAAACGGCAAGTTAACCCCAGAAGTCCGCCTGACGAGCGGTGAGAGCGCATGCAGGCTTTATTTCCGCTCAGCAGGACGAAGTTTTGTGTCAGTTTTGTGCATTTGCCAGCGAGTCTTGCGGAGTAAATGGCAAGCTCGCCAAAGACGTTTCGGACACTCCTCAGGCTGGAGTTTCACCACCCGGCTGTTATAAGCAAAATCTCGTGCGACATGTTTGCCCACGAATGTTGTTCTGACTACTCATGCAAAGCGACGAGGACAAACCATCACACAAAGTCTGTTGACAACAACACAGGTCCGTTGTGCTTGTCCGGGAGCTTAGCTTATGGTATCTGTGGCATGGCATCCCCTCCCACCCTCAACACCAATCGCAGATTGTACACTCAGTAGGGACTGTGTTCGACCCCGGTCTGATGGACATCTCGAATCTTAGCAGCTTAGCTTGTCTGGGAAGCAGAGCACAGCCGAGTGAATGCCCTAGTCCTGGATTTTTAGCTGAAACAAAGACGGGTCATTTACTACCGAGCAATGGTTCGCAGAACCTTGCGAAGTTTGAGGCCATGACCGTCACCATGATCCGTTCATAGGCCGTTAAGTAGTTGAACTCCTGGCTGTACTCTTGGAATCAACACAACCATAATCCTAGTAGCACGCCCTGTCGACAGGCATGGCCGCAAACCTTCACTAGTTGAAAACATCTGGAAACATGCAGGCGCCATTGGCATTGTGCCACTCTCAGAGTGAGATTACAGAAATTGCCGGTGAGCCAATGCATACCATGAAAGAGGCGTAAAACTAGCTTTCGGCGCAAAAGGTCGCCAGCTCAACTGCCAACCGAAACAGCCCTAGAAAGGCAGCACCAAAAACGATTGGATAAGCACTTGTACAGTGTGAGCGGCCGTACAATTTCGAACGCGGCCGGCTTTTGCGCCGATGGCATTTCCACGAAATTCTTTCACCTATGAACCCGAAGTGTCGTAGCAATGTCGAAGGTGCTGTCAAGCTGCCCTTTCCCGAACCTTCAAGGTGGGAATAGAAATGGCACACCAAATACTCTTCGACACGGCTTTGACAGCAGCAACTGCTCAGGCCATCTCAGGCGCCTCCGCTGCTCGCTTGAGAAAGCGAAGCATCCAAGAGCCTGGGCACCGTTGGATCAAAGTCGGACACAGGTTGCGTGTGCATTGTGAAAGGGATGGCAACAGCCTCTCTGGTTCGCGGCAAAAGCTTCTAGATTTGCTGGCGATCAGACTGACTGCACACCCAGTGACTCCTGAGATGAAGCGGCATAGTCCTGGGATGCCTCGTGAGATTTTCGAAAGCATGCGTGTTGGATCGTGCTGGTCAGGCCACGAACCTGTACAGCGCGTCGCCATGAGATTCGCCGCGGCCGCACATGGCGGGAGGAACCCAGGGAGGCCACAGGCCTGGTCCAGACCACGGCGAGGTGCTCATGTAGCAAAGTGTGTGCGGGGGAATCCGAGTTCCCGAATTCCCTGGAGATGCCTCGTTTGGGCACCGCCCTTACAGGATATGTCCCAACGCTTGCCGCTTGCCGCATTTCAGGACGCTCCTGAACACAAAGTGGGCGATACCCCTATAGCTTCCACATTCCAAAATCCACACAACCCCCACGAACACCCAACACATCGAAGAAGCCCACACCTTTAAACGAGAACCCATGTACTGCCTGATCCCAAACTCACTTTCAACCGAGAGAACTGTTGGATTGGCCCCGGTCAACATAACGCTTGCAGCCATGGCCTCAGCGGGCGCAGCCACGGTTTTACTGCTGCCTCGGTGCTGCAATGCTCTGTTGCTGGGGAAATCTTTTCTACTGGCGATGCTCTCCCGAACGCTCGCATTCAAGCGGCCCAGGATATCGGCCAGTACTTCCTCAGTAGCCGGGTCCGCACATGTCGGCAACACTGAACGAGCATCCAGCAGTTCAAGTCCTACAGTACATACCCGAAATACACAAAACCCCTGAGTCCAAAACGCGTACCACACTATGGTGGGGCTGTGCACAACAAACACACCAACCGAGCGCCAGAGTATTTGATGTTACAGCTGGTTCGACATTCCCTGTGCACGCCTGCCGGGCAGGAACCCCCACAAATGACGGGTTGGCATCTCCACCCTCCAATGAACATTCGAGTTAAAGTGCAAACAGCAGCTAGAATCTACCTTAGCTCGTTAGATTTGTGAGATCTTTCTCTGTCCCGTGGCAGCCACTCGGCGGGCAGAGTGCGCCACTGAGCCGCCGAGAGGTCCTGCACGGGACGCCAAGAGAAAAAGTGCTGCAAAGTGGGTCGAAGAAGTGCCAAACCCAGGACGTCTCATCTGCCTTTCCTTCTTAAAGCGGCAGCCGCTCTTGGCCGAGCAAACCAGAAACGGACCTGTGATTCGGGTGCACATTGCCACATGGTGACGTGAATATCTTTTACCATAGACAATCTAGATCTTCCAGGGCGGCTTCTGCAGCCACAAAGCCTTTGCTTGTGATCTGAGTCTAACAGGATTTGCAAGGCATCGAGTAATTACCCGGAATTCTTCCGTTGCACCGAGGGAGCCCTGACACATGCGCCAGTCTTATCTCGTCTCGCATGAACTACCACCTCGGCTTCCCAGTGCAGGCTGCAATGCCAGCTGTCGGCACCAGGGTGCTAAGCAACGGCCCCAACGTGTCTCCTGACAGTTTCTAGCAATCACAGAAACGTTGACAATTCCAGGTTAGCGTCGCCTGTTATGCAGGTCTGCTTGGTGCCTGTGGCACACGGAAACCAAGCAGGCCTTCAGCCGTCTTTTCGGAGGCTCCTTTGGCTTCCGTGCACTTTTTGTCTGCCTGCTCAGCTTTTCAGAAATCCTGTGACATCCTGTGACAACGAAAGCGCCTGGCCGTCGGGGAGGCTTCGATTGCTTCGCCATGTTCCTGCAAATGTGGGGCTTGGAGCGTCGAAGCGCCAATGCCCCGCACAGGCAACCCGCTTCCGCTTCAAAGCGCCGGCACGCTCAAACCAGCACGTAGGCATCCTGGTCTGGAAACTCCAGATTAAGGTTGAAGTCTGAGGAATCCATCACCTCAGCAGGGGCCGACGTATCGCCAAATGGAACAAGCTCTCAAGCCTCCATACTGTTTATCTGTGGCTGCCCGTATATCTGCTCTACGTCAAGGTGAAGTGGCAGAATCAACCAAAGCCTGCACTTCATCCGTGCCGATCTCCAGGATGCTTCGACGCATCTCTGTGGCACCTTCAGGAACATGTCAAGGTGTCACTACACCATCGCGATTCGCAGAGTTTGTATGAAGACTGAGCTTCCAGCCGGAAGCGAGATAGCTGGTTGCCCACGCTGGCACATCGACAGCTATACCGTCATCCGAGCCACTTCTGCAATCCTGCGCCACGCAGCAGGCACTCGACTCCAGCAACTCGCGGCCAAAACAGGGAGACGGCGGACCTCCTGCCCATACTGCAGTAAACGATGGTATGTCCTTGAAGAACTTCAACAGGATACGTGAGCCCTGCACGCTTGCGAATGCTTGCGAAGCAAATGGCGGCCAAGTTTCGGTAGCAGCTCAAACTCCCTGCGCTCAACAGCCTTAGTTGGAAAACGCTCACCCGCAGTATTGGACGTTGATACTGCGCCAAAAGTTGATACAGGCAGCAGGAGGTGGACCCATGACTCCTGACAGTCTCTCTCCGATGACATGCGCTAGGCTTGTTTTGCAGCGTGGAAGCAGGCGTCGTCGATATCTACTGTAGCCTCATGAAACCTTCGAAGCTTCTGTAAACTGACATTGCCTCGCAGATTTTCCCACGGCTCTGCTACAGCCATGGCGAAGGCAGGCTGAGTCCATGAGCTGTCTTGCGGAAGTGCCTTGATCCGGTGAAGCTCCAAGGGAAAAGGTGGGCAGCTGGCGCAGAGTTGCTACGCTTGCAAGACATCGTAAACAAGAATGGAAGGCGCACCAGCTCTATATCTCTGCGACTTGTGATAAGGTGCTGGCAAGGTATCTCTTGGCTCTTTCGGGCGACCACTATGCTCACTAACTCACGCTTGTGCCAACGAAACTTCGCGCAAAATCCACACAGCACTGTTCCGTGTCTTGCTGAGGCACGAACGCAACATATGAAAGCCCATTGGAGGTGGAAGAAATGGACAAATTTTATGCTTCTTGTGCATTCCAATGGCCCTCCAGTTTCGCAAAGGCCGTAGGCGCAAGCGGTCTTCACTTGCGACACCCTTGCTGGAGACTGCCTTTATCAGCATGACCGCGAATTGCCGGTGACTAGACTTGAAAACTATCGGCGGGTATATGCAACTGCTTCGCATCTACCCATAGTCGCTACTCTTTGATAGCTTGATGTGGAGATCCTGGTTCAACTGCCTCAGCTGATGCAGCTCCTCCGTCAGCCTTCCCAGAAGCCAAATCAACATCCCTAGCGCATCGTGTTCAAGCACCTCAAAGTCAAAACATGCGCATGCTTTTTGGCTTGGCCAGACAGTGGATATGTCAGTGCCTGTGTGTGCGGGACATCAGCTCCTTCCTCTCCGAAAGGAGAATTATGAGTTCATTCCTCAAGTGCTCCTGGCGGGGAGCGTGCTGGGCGGTAAACTGGGCTATATACGCAAACGATCGGATGAACGGTGTGATTCGGTGGCCTCTGCTTCGAATGATGGGCCTGTCATCAACTCCAGTGCCTTCTGAACAGACGTCTCCTGGCAAGGTGCAAGGGGAACTCTTCCAATGAACTTGCTCGCTGGGTCAGCACCAAATACTGGGAGAAGGGCCAGTTTCCCTTCCGAGATAGTGCTTTGCAGCTGTCGTTGCAGACTCGTCCGTACTTCTTTCAACCTGCATCACCCGCGTCCGGACTTCCTGTCCAACTTCGGGCATAATCGTGCCTCTGCGGATCGAGTGCCTTGCGTGTCGAGGCAGAAGGAGCGAAAGACCAAGCAGCTTGCATGTGCAGCAGCGCAGCACATGCAAGCCAAGTCCGATTTGCAGCACGGTCACTGCACGTGTCAGCGCAGGCTCTTTGCGTCTTGCAGAGGCAGGCGAATCCACCTTAGGCTATTGTCGAGTCGGCTGCAAACTCAGAAACACTGGGCCCGCTCTCATCACCGGGTACAGAAACCAAGGAGCGATGTCGAGGTGCTGTGGCTCGAGGGTGGGCGCGGGAACGCTGGAGTCCAAAACAAAGTCCTGAAATCGCAACAAGGGAACTTGGCACAAAGTCCCGACAAATGACACTCACCGATCGCCTCTTCGCGCGCTGAGGCGTGTTGGTCCTCAGATGTGGTCCCACAAAACGAGCCAGAACCGCATCCTCCAGCGGACGGAAGACAAAATCACTATGATGTGGCTGTTGATTGTTGCAGAGATGTTGCATCCTGCGGGGGCGCGCAGGGTTCAGCTTTGGCGGCTTCCAGCGCCTGCCAGCCGAGTTATGTGCTATTCACTGGGGTTACAACGCTATCTGCATCTTCCGCCTCAGGCCCAAGGCCTGGATCGGAAGCAGTTTGTCCGAGTAGGAGCTCATTGCCAGCCACCTTGGCCCGCTGGCACTTAGAGACTTAGAGAGGCACAAGTGCCGTCCCCGCCTGCACATGGTGCCAGGGGTGAAGCATCAACAAGATCATCATTTTGCCAACTGCTCAAAATAACTCAAAAATTGATATCGACAAATCCGCGATAGGTTCTAAAACAAAATCGAACAGGCTGTTTCCAGAAAACCCTCAATTCAAACCAACGAAAGCATGGCTAGCACCGAAACGGAGGATCGCAGCATCTTGCACTCTTCCAACTCGGACATGCCACGCGAGGTTCAGCAGAGTCGGAGTGATACATTCAACGGGTGCCTTCAACCGCAGCACTTTAGGTTCTCGCGCTGTCACTTAGAGTGTTTCTGTCGTTTTAAGGTTTGCCAGTCAGCATTTCTTGTTATATTTGCTGCAGAACACCTTTTGATACCTTTGTATTTTTTGCAGGCTATTTTTTGGCACTCGCGCTCGACTGTGTCAGGCGAGGTTTGTGGAAGCAACACAGCCAAACTCAAATCCAGACGCGCGCCCTTGAGCACGCTTGTCCCGGACAGCCAGCCCTTACAGGACGTTCGCAGATGACTCTGCCAAGGAAAACTGCTGAACACACCTCAGCAAAACTTGTGCCGCAATCAGTTTCATCACGCAAAGGTGCAGGAGTTCGCGAGGGAGGAACTTGCCCGAGCGTCCGCAGCTCCGCTAACACACAAAAATGTAAAAGAAAATGAGATGGAGATGACACTGTCGCAACATAGGTTGTAGTCTGTGGAGGTCTCGTTTGCAGGGTCCCTGCCCATCGTCTCCTTCTCCGGCGTCACAGATTGGCGAACCAGGTGAGGTTTGCGATGTCCAACATCCATACTTACTAATGTAGCTATGCTAGCTGCAACATTGCAGGCTATTCGCGACTGGTTCCATCTCCGTTCATGCTCCTAGGTTTCGACCTTTTGGGGTGCAAGGTCACCATCTCCCATGCACGCTGCGACACTACACAGGCGCAGCAGGTTCACAATTTGTTAAGTCGGCCATCCACATTCACACACATCGGTCCCCATAAGAGAGTCGTGTAACCGTACTGGTATGCACAAACCAACCACCGCAGGTAGGTAAGAACCAAGTTTGACAGTCAACATCGCCTTGTTGGATTCTTTATGAAGTGGCACAACATTGAAGTCAGATGGTGAAGGCTTGATATGAAACGTATCCAGCATCAAAGACGCTGGGTTGAAGGAACCTGTTAATGAACA